GCAGAGAACTTCCCTAATGTGAGGAAGGAAACAGGCATCAAAATCCAGGAGGCACAGAGAACCCCTCTCAAAATCAATAATAATAGGTCAACACCCCGACATCTAATAGTAAAACTTACGAGTCTCAGAGACAAAGAGAAAATCCTGAAAGCAGCTCGGGAGAAGAGATATGTAACCTACAATGGTAAAAATATTAGATTGGCACCAGACCTATCCCCAGAGACCTGGCAGGCCAGAAAGGACTGGCAAGATATCTTCAGAGCACTAAACGAGAAAAATATGCAGCCAAGAATACTATATCCAGCTAGGCTGTCAATGAAAATAGAAGGAGAGATAAAAAGCTTCCAGGACAAACAAAAACTAAAGGAATTTGCAAACACGAAACCAACCCTCCAAGAAATATTGAAAGGGGTCCTCTAAGCAAAGAGAGAGCCTAAAAGCAGCAAAGATCAGAAAGGAACACAGACAACATACAGTAACAGTCAACTTACAGGCAATCCAATGGCACTAAATTCATACCTTTCAATAGTTACCCTGAATGTAAATGGGCACAATGCCCCAATCAAAAGACACAGGCTATCAGATTGGATTAAAAACCAAGACCCATCGATATGCTGTCTGCAAGAGACTCATTTTAGACCCAAAGACACCCCCAGATTGAAAGTGAGGGGGTGGAAAACCATTTACCATGCTAATGGACACCAAAAGAAAGCTGAGGTGGCAATCCTTATATCAGACAAACTAGATTTTATACAAAGACTGTAATAAGAGATGAGGAAGGACACTATATCCTACTTAAAGGGTCTATCCAACAAGAAGATCTAACAATTGTAAATATCTATGCCCCGAACATGGGAGCAGCCAATTATATAAGGCAATTAATAACAAAAGCAAAGAAATACATTGACAACAATACAATAATAGTGGGGGACTTTAACACCCCCCTGACTGAAATGGACAGATCATCTAAGCAAAAGATCAACAAGGAAATAAAGACTTTAAATGACACACTGGACCAAATGGACTTCACAGACATATTCAGAACATTCCATCCCAAAGCAACAGAATACACATTCTTCTCTAGTGCCCATGGAACATTCTCCAGAGTTGATCACATCCTAGGTCACAAATCAGGTCTCAACCGGTACCAAAAGATTGGGATCATTCCCTGCATATTTTCAGACCACAATGCTTTGAAACTAAAACTCAATCACAGGAAGAAAGTTGGAAAGAACTCAAATACATGGAGGCTAAAGAGCATCCTACTAAGGAATGAATGGGTCAACCGGGAAATTAAAGAAGAATTAAAAAAATTCATGGAAACCAATGAAAATGAAAACACAACTGTCCAAAATCTTTGGGATACAGCAAAGGCAGTCCTGAGAGGAAAGTATATAGCAATACAAGCCTTTCTCAAGAAACAAGAAAGGTCTCAAATACACAACCTAACCCTACACCTAAAGGAGCTGGAGAAAGAACAGCAAATAAAGCCTAAACGCAGCAGGAGAAGAGAAATAATAAAGATCAGAGCAGAAATCAAGGGACTACAAACCAAAAGAACAGTAGAACAGATCAACAAAACTAGGAGCTGGTTCTTTGAAAGAATTAACAAGATTGATAAACCCCTGGCCAGACTGATCAAAAAGAAAAGAGAAATGCCCCAAATCAACAAAATCATGAATGAAAGAGGAGAGATCACAACCAACACCAAAGAAATACAAACAATTATAAGAACATATTATGAGCAACTCTATGCCAGCAAATTAGATAACCTGGAAGAAATGGGTGCATTCCTAGAGATGTATCAACTACCAAATTTGAACCAGGAAGAAATAGAAAACCTGAACAGACCTAGAACCACTAAGGAAATTGAAGCAGTCATCAAAAATCTCCCAAGAAACAAAAGCCCAGGGCCAGATGGCTTCCCAGGAGAATTCTATCAGATATTTAAAGAAGAATTAATACCTATTCTCCTGAAACTGTTCCAAAAAATAGAAATGGAAGGAAAACTTCCAAATTCATTTTATGAGGTCACCATTACCTTGATCCCAAAACCAGACAAAGACCCCATCAAAAAGGAGAATTACAGACCAATATCCTTGATGAACATGGATGCAAAAATTCTCACCAAAATACTAGCCAATAGGATCCAACAGTACATTAAGAGGATTATTCACCACGACCAAGTGGGATTTATCCCTGGGCTGCAAGGTTGGTTCAACATCCGCAAATCAATCAACGTGATACAATACATTAACAAAAGAAAGAACAAGAATCATATGATCCTCTCAATAGATGCAGAAAAAGCATTTGACAAAGTACAGCATCCTTTCTGGATCAAAACTCTTCAGAGTATAGGGATAGAGGGTACATACCTCAATATCATAAAAGCCATCTACGAAAAACGTACAGTGAATAACATTCTCAATGGGGAAAAGCTGAGAGCTTTTCCCCTAAGGTCAGGAACGTGGCAGGGATGTCCACTCTCACCACTCCTATTGAACATAGTATTAGAAGTCCTAGCCACAGCAATCAGACACCAAAAAGAAATCAAAGGCATCCAAATCGGCAAAGAGGAAGTCAAACTCTCACTCTTTGCAGATGATATGATACTGTATGTGGAAAACCCAAAAGACTCCACCCCAAAACTGCTAGAACTCATACAGGAATTCAGTCTAATAGCAGGCTATAAAATCAATGCACAGAAATCAGTGGCATTCCTATACACCAACAACAAGACAGAAGAGAGACAAATCAAGGAGTCAATCCCATTCACAATTGCACCCAAAACCATAAGATACCTAGGAATAAATTTAACCAAAGAGGCAAAGGATCTGTACTCAGAAAACTATAAAATACTCATGAAAGAAATTGAAGAAGACACAAAGAAATGGAAAAACGTTCCATGCTCATGGATTGGGAGAACCAACATTGTGAAGATGTCAATGCTACCTAGAGCAATCTACACATTCAATGCAATCCCCATCAAAATACCATCCACTTTTTTCAAAGAAATGGAACAAAGAATCCTAAAATTTTTATGGAACCAGAAGAGACCCCGAATAGCCAGAGGAATATTGAAAAAGAAAAGCAAAGCTGGCAGCATCACAATTCCGGACTTCCAGCTCTATTAGAAAGCTGTCATCATCAAGACAGTTTGGTACTGGCACAAAAACAGACACATAGATCAATGGAAGAATCGAGAGCCCAGAAATGAACCCTCAACTCTATGGTCAACTTATCTTTGACAAAGCAGGAGAGAATGTCCAATGGAAAAAAGACAGTCTCTTCAACAAATGGTGTTGGGAAAATTGGACAGCCACATGCAGAAGAATGAAACTGGACCATTTCCTTACACCACACACAAAAATAGACTCCAAATGGTTGAAAGACCTAAACGTGAGACAGGAGTCCATCAAAATCCTAAAGGAGAACACCGGTAGCAACCTCTTCGACCTCAGCTGCAGCAACTTCTTCCTAGAAACATCACCAAAGGCACGGGAAGCCAGGGCAAAAATGAACTATTGGGATTTCATCAAGATAAAAAGCTTTTGCACAGCAAAAGAAACAGTCCACAAAACCAAAAGACAACTGACAGAATGGGAGAAAATATTTGCAAATGACATCTCAGATAAAGGGCTAGTATCCAAAATCTATAAAGAACTTATCAAACTCAACACCCAAAGAACAAATAATCCAGTCAAGAAATGGGCAAAAGACATGAACAGACATTTTTCCAAAGAAGACATCCAAATGGCCAACAAGCACATGAAAAAGTGCTCAACATCGCTCGGCATCAGGGAAATCCAAATCAAAACCTCAATGAGATACCACCTCACACCCGTCAGAATAGCAAAAATTAACAAGTCAGGGAACGACAGATGTTGGCGGGGATATGGAGAAAGGGGAACCCTCCTACACTGTTGGTGGGAATGCAAGCTGGTGCAACCCCTCTGGAAAACAGTATGGAGGTTCCTCAAACAGTTGAAATTAGAGCTACCATTCGATCCAGCAATTGCACTACTGGGTATTTACCCCAAAGATACAAATGTAGGGACCCGAAGGGGTACGTGCACCCCAATGTTTATAGCAACAATGTCCACAATAGCCAAACTGTGGAAAGAGCCAAGATGTCCATCGACAGATGAATGGATAAAGAAGAGGTGGTATATATACACAATGGAATATTATGCAGCCATCAAAAGGAATGAGATCTTGCCATTTGCAACGACGTGGATGGAACTGGAGGGTGTTATGCTGAGTGAAATAAGTCAATCAGAGAAAGACATGTATCACATGACCTCACTGATATGAGGAATTCTTAATCTCAGGAACAAACTGAGGGTTGCTGGAGTGGTCGGGGGTGGGAGGGATGGGGTGGCTGGGTGATAGACATTGGGGAAGATATGTGCTACGGTGAGCGCTGTGAATTGTGTAAGACTGTTGAATCACAGATCTGTACTTCTGAAACAAATAACGCAACATATTTTAAGAAAAAAAAAAAGAAAAATAAGAAGATAGCAGGAGAGGAAGAATGAAGGGGAGTAAGTCAGAGGGAGAGACGAACCAGGAGAGATGATGGACTCTGAAAAACAAACTGAGGTTTCTAGAGGGGAGGAGGGTAGGGGGATGGGTTAGCCTGGTGATGGGTGTTAAAGAGGGCACATTCTGCATGGAGCACTGGGTGTTATGAACAAACAATGAATCATGGAACACTACACCAAAACAAATTATGTAATATATGTTGATTAACATAACAATAAAAAATTAAAAAAAAATAATAGCAGTGACCATGATAATAGCTTGTGTTTGACAGTCTGTACTAGTTTACGTGTTCTTCACACACGTGAATTTTAAATCTCACTCCAACTATGTAGGGTAGGTACAATGATTACCCCCAATTACAGACTAGCAAACTGAGCCATAGAGAGGAGAACTTCTTCCCCCCATCACCTCCCTTCACTGTCTCCGTGCCCCTGCACCACCCCAAGTCCTTGTACCATCACAGCTCTCCAACCAGCTGGCGAAGATCTCCCCAGATGAAGAAATGAATCCCGGGGAGCAGCAACAGGTGTTGGCATTGACACACGTGGATTTTGGAGGGCACCAGCGAGCCCAGTCTGTGGAGGCAGAGGTTGTGGGAACAGAGACCGCAGTCAGAAGACTCAAGAAATGGAGGGAGCCAGATGCCAGCTGGGGGTCCAGGAGCAGAGGAGGGGAGGTGGAGGAAGGAGAGGGATGGCTGCCATTGGAAGAAGAAAAGATAGAAAACTCTGGACGTTTGGGGAGGTAAAAGAAGTCTCTGTTATCTCCAGAAGACCAGAGCCTCACTTGAAGAATATGCCCCCCTTTTCCCCTTGCTGGTGTGAGGACCCAGACCCCTTCATGCACCCCCAGCTTCTGTCACCAGTGAGGCTGGCTGGGCAAACTCACCACTAGTCTTCTGGGCTGTGGCTCCCAATGGCAACAACAGCAGCATCAAGAGTCCTGGGGCAGAAAAAAGAGAGATGACAAAAAGAGGAGATGGAGCTCCAGGTTCAACCTTTGTCCTCACGGCCATTGCATCCTGGGAGGTGGCTCTGATGCTGTGGCCCATGGCTTTCCCAAGCCTCTAGTAATTTATGAAGATTTGAGGACCAGTCCTCTTCCCTCCCTCTCCTCGGACCTCCTGAGGAATCAGTCACTAACAGACCCTGTCATGGAACCTCGGTGCTACAGGTAAGGGCACAGAATACACACAGGTGATGTCAGGGACACAACATAGAAATTCCAGCCTCTCCCAATGGAGGGGGTAAATATTTTTTTAAGAAATATTTATTTAGGGCCCCTGGGTGGCTCAGTTGGTTAAGCAACTGCCTTTGGCTCAGGTCATGAACCTGGAGTCCTGGGATCGAGTCCCACATCGGGCTCCCTGCTCGGCAGGGAGTCTGCTTCTCCCTCTGACCCTCCTCCCTCTCGTGCTCTCTGTTTCTCATTGTCTCTCTCGCAAATAAATAAAATCTTTAAAAAAAATTTAAAATTTATTTATTTATTTATTTATTTATTTATTTATTTATTTATTTTAGAGACAGAGGAGAGAGAGCACAGCTGGAGGAGGGAGAAGGGGCAGAGAGAGGGAGAAGCAGAGTTCCCACTGAGCAGGGAGCTTGATGTGGGGCTGGATCCCAAGACCCAGGGATCATGACCTGAGCCGAAGGCAGACGCTTAACCAACTGAGTCACCCAGGTGCCCTGGAGCAGGTAAATCTTGAAGCACAAAGTCCATAGATGGGTGTGTGCTCTGCCCACAGCCAGGTCCTTTGTTCTCTGGCAATGGCAGAAATTTACCTTGAGGATTTCTCTTCCAGGATCACTCCCCTCTGTTTAACCCACATGTTTTGGGACACACAAGAAGAGCATGGGTTTGGGAGTCAGCCAGCCCCAAGTCTGAGTCCCAGCTCACGGTGGTATTGGTCAGTCAGGGAGCCCTGGCATCACAAGAGGGGGAGTTCCTGACAGGTGAGGGGTGTGAACTATGGCATTGGCAGTTTGAGCCACCATCTCCTGCTTAAGTGGCCTCTCCAGGTGCAGCACCCATAGCTTCTATGGTTCCTTCCAAGTGAGCTCCTGGCCATCCTACAGTGCACTGAGGGCAACAGGCTTTCCCTTTATCTCCCAGTCTCGTCCTGAGTGATGGGTCACTGGGCAGGCATCATGGTATGAAAACCACTGCAGGTGTGAAGGAATCTACCCTACAGGCAATCACCTGGCCACCTGTTAGAGTCTGTCATTCCATTCATGGGACGCATGATGCTGCTGCAAAGGTCATTCTTTAAATGAGATTAACAGTGAAATCAGTAGACTCTGAGTAAAGCTGATATTCTGGGTGGGCCTCATCTAATCAGTTGAAGGCCTTAAGAGGGGAAAAAAGACTGACCTCTTCCAAGGAAGAGAGAATTCTGCTTCCAGACTGACTTCAGACTTAAGATCACCATCAATGTCCCTGGAAACATTGGGTTTCCAACCTGCCCTACAGATTTTGGACTTTCCAACTTTAACAATCTCATAAACCAATTTCTTAAACTGACACATTTTTTCTCATACACACACATATATACACATATATATATACACACACACACTTATATATACATTTCTATACATATATGTACATATACCCAAACTTGGTTCTGTTTCTCTGGAGAACCAGGTCTAATATAGGCCAGAAAATAAGAAAGCTCTGATAAGTCCGAACGATTGCCCTAGAAATAAGTGCCACCTATTTTCTTCTCTGAGAACTTAATATAATTGAGTTAATGCCATTAAAACTTTTTCCTTGCTCTCCCTTATACAGATTGTGGGAAAAAAAAAAACAGAAATAGAGCTAAAGCCAGAAATAAAGCAAAGAACGGAGAAAATTCTCAAATGGGATAGAGTTTCCAGGGAGCTTTAGTTGCTCTATCACTATTGTTGTAATTCTGCCTACCTGGCAGCAACCTTAGATGCCCATTCCTCATGGTGCAGACACCAAGGAGCCCAGCCACAGAGGATGCCATCTGGTGTTGGTCTGGGTGTGCTGAAAAGACTTCCTGTTTAATTATCTCTAACTCCTTAGTAAACTGCTGGTCTAGACGCTTCTTTCCCCTCTGTTTCCCCATGATGAACATCTCTAAAACTCACCCTTCACTTTTTAAGTATTTCCTTAACATTTCTAGTATTCCTACTGAAAGCCTCCTTGATGGTTTCTATCTTTTTGTTATAGGAAGACCTCCCTAACATGAAGATAATTCCACTGGTGTTTTGGCCTCTATGAGGTCTATGGTTCAGAGTGAACAGATCATTTTTTATCTATGATTATCTAGTCACAGAATCTTTATTCTTAAGTTTTCATTTTGAAATAAGCCTAGATTGACAGGAAATTTCAAAAACAATACATGGAGGTCCTTCCCCAGGCTTCCTATAAAAGATACATTTTATGTATTTATGTATCCTTATATAACAATGGTCAAATATCTAAACCAAGAAACTGACATCAGCACAATGGAGTGTATCGTTTTGTGACATGTTATCACATGTGTGGATTCCTGTAACTGTCACTGCAATAAAGTAGATAATATCCCGTCACCACAAGGCTCTCCTTCATGTGACCCCAACATCTCTAAACCGTGGCAGGTCTAGAACCAAGCTGTTTCTATTCTTCAGCAATACTCAACAGTCTGAGATTCATATTCATTGATAAAAGAAAATATTCCTGATATGTTTTAAAAGATGAGAAAAAAGTATCTCCAAATATTTCACTAGTCTCTGTAGTGGAATTGTGATGATTTTCTTCATTTACATTTTTTACATTTTCTTTGTTTTCCCCATGTCCGTGTGTAGTAAAATTGAGCACTGCCATAATAATATAGCATTAAAGAGGTGTCATAAACCACAGAAATTTTTTTCTCAAATTTTTCCTGGAGGCTGGATTCCAAGGTCAATATGTCGGCAGTGTTGGTTTCTGGCAAGAGCTCTCTCCTGACTTGTAGATGGCTGCCTGCACCCTGTGTCCTCATATGATCTTTCCTCTGTGTATGGAGAAAGAGTGGAAGAGAGAGGGAAGGAGGGAGGGAGGGAAGGATAGAAACAGAGAGGGAGGGATGAAGGGAGAGAGAAAACATTGGTGTCCTCTAGTTACAAACCAGAGCTCTTCACTCTGCATCCGCCTGGCCACATGCCTGCACTGCCCTAATCCCCACCACTCTTCCTCTGGCCTGTATTCCTTCCACAAAGTACTTCTGTGCTGCTCCTAGGGCTGAGGACTCCAGATGCCCCATAATCTTGGATGTGCCCCTCCGCCACCCTCAAGCCTCTGTACCTTTACAACCCATCATGGGATTGCTGAAGATCTCCCCACAGGGAAATATGAATCTGGATAACAGCAACAGGCAGGGGCACTGAGATATATGGAGTCCGAAGGGCACCTCGAACCACAGACACTGGGGACGAGACGGTGGTCAGAAGCCCCAGGGAATGGAGGAGGCCAGCTGCCGGGTGGGAACCAGAGAGTGGAGGAGGGGAAGGTTGGCTGCTATTGAAAGAGGAAGAGTTCAGGAAACTAAGCATTTGAGGAGGAAGAAAGTTTCTCTTATTGCCAGACGAAGACCATATCTGAGGAACTTTCACAGATCAAGCCTCTTCTCCCTGGCTCTCCCCTTGTAGTGAAGGAACCCAGACACCAAGCTTGCCATGCCCTCCATCAATAAAGGGGCCAGCTGGCCAGGCTCACCCCCAAGGTTCAGGGCTGCAGCTCCCAATGGCAACAGCAGCAGTACAGACAGCCCTGGAGCAGAAAGAGTGGTGAACGAAAGGAGTCAAGGTCCAATGCAACCCTTGTCCTTATGGCCACTGCCTCCACACTAGATGGCTCTCACCCTGCGGTTCCCTGGCTTTCCAGCAGGATCCCAGAGTCTCCCCAGACCAGGCTCCCACACTTTGCATGGAGTCTTGGGCTCAACCTCTCCCTTCCATCTCCTGGGACTCCCCAAGGAATCAGTCACGAGCAACTGCAAGCCCTCATGGAATCTCAGGTGCTACCAGTAAGGACACAGAATATATGCAGACCAAACTCCAATCTCAGGGCACCTGGGTGGCTCGGTTGGCTAAGCATCTGACTTTGGCTGGGGTCATGATCTTGGGGTCCTGGGATCAGGCCCCAAGTAGGGCTCCCTGCTCAGCCCGGAGTCCGCTTCTCCCTCTCTCTCTGCCCCTCCCCCCCACTCGTGTTTGCTCTTTCAAATTAATAAAATCTTTTAAAAGACAAAAAAAAAAAACCTCTCCAGCAGAAGGGGTAAATATTAAAGGAGAAAGTCTTCAGATCAGTCTGCCATTGCCCAGAGCTAGACCATAATAGAAATCTGCTTTCTCTTTCAGGATTCCTCTCCCTGGATTACTGATCTCCCTGTTCCAGGACATACAAGTGAAGAGTGGGTTTTGAAATCAGCCCCAAATTTGGAGTCCTCACTCGTCCCCTTACATGGAGCTTCAGTTTCACCACTTAAATTTTTGAATCTCAGTTTGCTCAATTGTAAAATGGGTATAATAAAAGTGAGAATAGAGTGTCATTATTATAGAAGTATGCTCTCAGGATTGAGATATTGAAATAGCTAAAAGGAAAAAGGAAAAAGCAGCCTTTCCTCTCTTTCTCTACAATTTGTTCTTGACCCGAGACTCTCCTGCCTGTGAGTCACATCAAGGATCTGGCCCTATATGATTCTCTTCTCCTGGTTCTCCTATGTAGACAAGATTCCTTCCTTTTCACTGGTTGCCCTTCTCCCTGGGAATCCTCCTGCCTTTCCCTGTGTGGCAGAGCATGAGGTTCCAGGGGGGAAACTGCACAAGATGGCCTGAGTTCAGCCCCCAACTCTAACACTTTTCAGCTGTGATATTGGGCAAGCCTCAGTTTCCTAATCAGCAAAATGGGAATTTTAAGAGTCCCTACTCATAAGGTGAGTCCCTAACTGTACACATGGAGGAGAAAGCCTGGCACACAGTAAGTGATTAATAAGTGTTGGGCTTTTGTTCTATCCTGCTTGGGTCCCTTTATTACCAAGCGGTGCAGCCCGAATCACTTATCTTCACTCTGACTTTCTTCTTGCAGAACTTTACCATTTTGTTCACAAAGTAGTATATATTCATTATCTGAAAAGGAGACATAAGGATCTAGAAAGGAGACCATGCTGGACTCACTGGGTGGGCCCTAAATCCAATGACTGGTGTCCTTATACAGAGAGGGGAGGACTCAGTGAGGCTCGCAGAAGGAGGCCACATGGAGACAGAAGCAGAGATTGGGGTGATGTGGCTGTAGTACCCGAATCAAGTGTCTCAATTGGAAGGGGCCCCCTAAATATGAGGTGATGATTGGGTGGAAGCTGGTGGTGCGGGTGGTGACAGGAATTCACCCAAGGCAAAATAAAGGAGCTAGAAGTTTACTGAACATGCCACAAGGGAGCGGCGGGCAGGACAGCAGGGGAGAGACTGTCTGCCACAAGGCAGTGGGTAGGGGTCACTTTTAAAGGGGGTGGGGGAGGCAGTGTGGCAACATATGGAATCTTCCCTTTTTGGGGAACTGTGCCTGGTTGTAAGTAGCCCGTTGGTCAGTTAGGGCCTGCGGATATTTTGAGGTGGGCCGCCTGATGGGCCTGTTTTCAGATAGGGGGCTGCTGTGGCCCTTTCTGCGTTCCATTGCCCAAGCCCGTTTGCCTAAAAGCAGCCTCTAAGGCGGCCACAAGCCAGGGGGCATCTGGGGCCCGCAGAGCTGGAGGGGGCAAAGAAGGGCCCTCCCCAGAGCCTCCACAGGGACTGTGGCCCTGCCAGCTCCTGGACTTCAGACTTCTGCTCTCCAGAAGTGTGAGAAAAGAAACTTCTGTTGTTTTTGTTATTTTAAGCCACCAAGATTGTGATGATTTGTCATATCAGCCACAGAAAACTAATACAATCCAGAATTTGGATCTGAATCTAGGATATTGGGTCTGGAGCCAGCCTGCTTGGCTTTGAATCTTATTCTATCGCTTACCATCTGTGCATCCTTTAGGGTCACGCAGCTTTCCTAAGCCTTAATTTCCTCATCCATAAAATTGGGCTAATAGTAGCACTTCCCACACAGGGCTGCTGTCTGAATTCAGTCAGTGATACTCATTAACTACCCAGGAGAGTAACTACCACGTAGTGTGTGCTCCCTAAGTGTTACCTGCCATTAATAGTGGGAGCAAGAAGACGCTAACATAGATATTAGAGTTTGAAGTCTGCTTCTTTTCAACTATGGATGAAATCAGTCATGACTGAATTTGTATCCAATAATCTAGTCCACATTTTTCCTTTCCAGACTGAAATTCTAAGCTCCTCAAGCAGTTTCTTTTCCCTTTTCTCATGATAGCATTTCCCAAAATATGACACCCAAAGCCTTCTATTTTGGATGTGATTTTACATTTGGTTTACATCGTGGACTGTAGACTCTATTCTTTTTTTTATTATGTTATGTTAGTCACCATACAATACATCGTTAGTTTTTGATGTGGTGATTCACCATTCATTGTTTGCATATAACACCCAGCGTTCTATTCTATGTAAATGTTTAACCTTTTAAACTCTGTGAAGGCACTAGCTTGGCTTTCTATTGCTTTTACAACTTCAACAGCATTTAGACCAATGTTTGACAGGTGGAAATTACCCAGTAAACACAGCCGCTAGTCAAAAATTGCATTTCCTGGGTGCCTGGGTGGCTCAGTTGGTTAAGCAACTGCCTTCGGCTCAGGTCATGATCCTGGAGTCCTGGGATCGAGTCCCACATCGGGCTCCCTGCTCAGCAAGGAGTCTGCTTCTCCCTCTGACCCTCTTCCCTCTCGTGCTCTCTATCTCTCATTCTCTCTCTCTCAAATAAATAAATAAAAATTCTTTTTAAAAAATTGCATTTCCCATAGCAGGCTAACGTAAGTGATAAATGTTTCCCCAAAATCAAGAAACAAATTAGAAAGCTTATATTGAGCACCTACTGTGTGTTAGCTACTCCACCAGGCACCAGAGAGAAAAAAGTCATAGAGAAACTATAGTTGACCTCTCAAGGAGGGCCTTCTCAATTTTACACTATTGCCCTTCAAATTTTTCAATGGCCAACAGGTTAGCCACATCTGATCTTTCTTAACGTATTTGGGGAGCGAGAGGTTACAGGTTTATGGGATTTCAGCTTATAGCATAATTATATGGGGAGAAAAATGAAAAATCCCCACATAAGTACTCTTTCCTCTAACCCAAGTACCAGCCTGTTTTCCCTGAGACACTAATAAAAATAAAGTCTTATTTTTGTTTTCCCCTCTTTTCTTTCATTTCTCAGGATAGCACAAAAGCAAAAGTTGGGGGGAGGCAAAATAACAGAAAAGATTCTCCAACTGGGTAAATAGTTCTCACGTCATTTGGGTGGTAGGGGTAACAAGACACATTCAGTGAGGTGTGTGAAGAGCATAGACCAGAAGTCCCCCCACAGAATGAATTTTTATATGTGTGCAAACTTATGTGACCAAGCAATCAAGGCACAAAGTTCCCGCCTCATCTTCCCAGTTGATAACCCCCAAAGGTAGCTACTATTCTGATTTCTCTCACCATTGATTGATTTTTCCTGTTCTTGAACATTTCCAAACAGACTGAAATAGACCATACATGCTGTTATAATTCTACCCAGAGGGAAATGGCAGAGAGCTGCTTCTCAGGGGTCAGAGGCCATCTAGCTCAGCTACGGAGAACTTTCTATCTTTTCTTGTAAGCAAAAAAAATATTTCCTGTTCAAATGAACCACAGGAGAATTGATATGTGTGGCTTCCCTTGATACACGGGCATGAGAAACATCTAGCGTGGATGCTGTCTTCCTCATATTTTATTATCAGGCCCATAGTTTGGCTTTTTTCTTTTCTTTTCTTTCCTTAGCATTACCAGTGACTGTACAGCCAGCCTATTTGGTGGTGCTTTGGGTTTCCTATTGATGAGAGAACAAAGAATACGACAGTGCCCCCCACAAGGAAGTTTCCTGACTAGCTCACGAAAGGGTTCCTACAACTCTGTGAGAGGAGCATCAGTCTATGGCTTCTTCAATGAGAAAACATGTCTGACATTACAAAACCAGAAACGGCAGGACCTCAAAACACATTCCGGGCTCTTGACTGCCAAAGCCTGAGCTCTTTCTACTAAATCATTCTCTCTCTCTCTTTTTTTTTTTTAACTTTTTATTTGAATTCAACTGAATTAACATACACTGTATTATTAGTTTCAGAGGTAGAATTCAGTGGTTCATCAGTTGCATACAACACCGAGGGTTCATTACTTCAAGTGCTCTCCTTAAAGCCCAAAACCCAGTTTCCCCAACCCCCACCCCTCTCCCCTCTAGCAACCCTCAATTTGTTCCCTAGAGTTCAGCGTCTCTTATGGTTTGCCTTCCTCTCTGTTTTCATCTTATTCTATTTTTCCTTCCCTTCCCCTATGTTTCTCTGTTTTGT